GGACAACAGAGCTGCTTCATGGAAGAACTCCAACTTAGCTTGGTAGCTTTAGCATTAGCCCCGATGCTATCACCATATACTGTATATGTATTAGCTCAGCTCTACACATTTTCCTCTCATCACTGAGGTCCTCCCTCCACATGACAGAGAGGGGAACACAAAAGTGACTCAGTCTGCAACTGAAAATATAGAGGACCTCAGTTTAGCTTGTTTGTCGCGTTAGCACCGAGCTAACACATATAAGACAATATGGGCTGTGTCTCAATTCAGGGGCTGGGTCCTCATGAGTGCGCATTTGTCGGCCACATACGTCACTGCCCCGCGCGGAGGACTGTCCCAATTCGAAGGCTCCTCATCATGCGGCTGAGGAATACATCCTACTTCCTGTCGAAATCCGAGGATGCATCCATGTTTCCTCACCAGCCGAGGATATCCCAGGATTCAATGCAAGGGCAGCAAAATAAACTGAGAAATGAAGACGGCGGTGTTTTTATTTTTTTAATGTGTCGGCGCAGTTTGGAAATTGACCACGGACCAAAGGATTTGTTTTTTAAAAGTAAGTTTAGCAACTTAGCTGATGAAATTTATGCTGCAATAAGATGTTAAATAAAACAAAATGCAACTACAAGTTATGAGAATAAAGTATTATAAGAATAAAATAATAACATTACGAGAATAAAGTCATAATATTATGAGAATAAAATCGTAATTTATGAGATTAAAGTCATACTACGAGAAAAAAGTCTTGATATCCGCCTTTACGTGAAAAAGCATGCAGTCATCACTGCATTAAAATGAGGAATGTTGTCAAGTTGTTCTTTCTTGTTTATAAATAAATAGTTATCTTTTAGCACATTAGTATCCAATTATCAGTAGCAGGACTTGGAAATTGTGCAAACGACTATATGATAAACTGAAGCTGTATTGTAATTAATAGATGCATTGACAGATTTAATCACGTAATTAATTTGGAAGAAATCATATTAATCTAACAGTGATCCAAGTCAGCACGTACTACTTTATAAACACAGAGAAACACATGGCTGTACACAGAAGGAATTATGGGAAAAAAACGTTATTTCATTCAACAAACTAATAACAAAAAATAAATAAATAAAAAGAAAAAATAATATAAACAAACAAATAATACAACAACGTTGTGTCAAAAAACACGATCACAACATATTCAAATGAAAGTAGCAGAAAGATTAAAATCTTATAACATCTGCCCATATTTAAAAATATATGTATCTAAAAAACATACAACTTACAAATAATAAAACTCAACTTAATACACAATATAATTTAAAATAAAAAACAACAACTTCATAACAAAAATACAAATTTTAACCAAAACGTTGTTCATATCTCATTAAAAACACTTTTAAGCATTCTACTAAATGAATAAATTGTTCCAGCATTCTTAAGGTCATCAAGCTATACAGTGTGTGTGTGTGTGTGTGTGTATGTGTGTGTGTGTGTGTGTCTGTGTGTGTATTTTGAATTACAAACATACACATGAAAATAAATAATGATGAAACGAGTAGAAAATGGACACTTCATGTAGGATTATGACATTATTCTCATAATATTATGACTTTATTTTCGTAATAATAATAAAAAAATATCTGTGGCCCTATAACGTTGTAGATACTGGAGCTAAACCCAAATTATTAATGTTTTCTTTCTTTCTTTATGTTTACCTTTTTAACTGTGAAGTTATTCTTCCAGTAAAAAGACGTGTAAAAAAAGACGTGTGAACACGTCCCGACGCATTTTAAGTCCAACATGAAACTGATCACTATGGTAACGGGGAGCACGTGGTCACACAAACCCACGTGAAGCCAACGTCAGGCAAAGGCTGGACCGTCTCATTTCGCAGCAGTTTTGAGTATCGTACCAGGCCCAGCAAGGACGTGGCCTACGTGGCCCAGCTAGGCTGAGTCCTCATGAGGACCCAGCTCATGAATTGAGACGCAGCCACAGCCAGTAAGTCACCTGCAGACAGGAAGTTATCTGCAGACAGGAAGCTACCTGCAGATAGGAAGCTACCAGGAGACAGGAAGTGACCTGCAGACAGGAAGTGACCCGCAGACAGTTTGGTAATCACTTTGGTAACGGCGAGCACGTGGTCACACAAACCCATGTGAAGCCGACGTCAGGTGAAGGCTGGACTTTCTCATTTCGCAGCAGTTTTGAGCATCCTAACCGGCCCAGGGAGGACGTGGCCTACGTGGCCCAGCTAGCCCATGAATTGAGACGCAGCCACAGCCAGTAAGTCACCTGCAGACAGGAAGTGACCTGCAGACAGGAAATGACCTGCAGACAGGAAGTGACCTGCAGACAGGAAATGACTTGCAGACAGGAAGTTATCTGCAGACAGGACGTTAACTCTCTCACTCACTCTTCTCTCTGCAGTTGGAAAACCTCGAGATCTAAGTGACATAAAGAAGATGTGAGTTGTGATGATCCACAGAGGTTAAAGCAACAGCAGGTTGAGAAGAAACTGATTGGATCCTGATGATGATGATGATGATGATGATGAACATTTAGTTTTTTATATTTACCAGAATATTATCTATGACAGTTTGATGACTCCTTCTGTGTTATATTTACTTTGAACGAACCTAAACTCAAGATAAAATAAAAATAAATTCTAGCTAAAATCACTTCAAGCAGAAAAAAATCTGCAT